AGAAGCAGATACAGGGAAGCTACTGGAGGTCAAGTGTCCCTATAAGCACAGAGACAAGACAGTGAAAGAGGCCTGTAAGGACACAGCCTTCTGCCTGGAAGCGGATGGTGAGTCCTACTCCTTGAAGAGAGACCATCCCTACTACACTCAGGTGCAGTGCCAGCTGGCAACAACGGGCTTTGACAAGGCTGACTTTGTTGTTCACACCAACAAAGATACAGTCATCACCTCAGTGGACTTTGATGCAGGGTTCTGGGAGAGAACTGAGCCCAAGCTGGAGAAGTTCTACACGGAGGCTGTGATTCCCCACTTGGAGGAGAAGAGAGGCAACTCAGTTTGGGCTAAGGAAGAATAAAGTAATGGGGACATCTGGCTGCTACCCGACCAGGGACTGCTGTCTTCACCAGCTGCCATGATAGATTAATGGACTATCTCTGGTTCTGCCCTAGCAGAACTTTGGGATCTAGAACATGCCGCCTGCTGAGCCTAGACTCTTCCTTCTTCTTTAGATTGTAAGCTCCATGGGGGCAAGGATAGTATCTGCCTTTGTCTCCTAGCAGCATGGAGAGACAGACAACGATTTAATAGTTCTGTCCTAGCTGCAGCACAAATACTCTTGGCATTTGGTGTTGTCTGCACACACATGGAAGCATTAATGCCTCAACATCTGCCTTTGAATTTATGCCAGTGGCTGGGTGCTAGTGCAAATTGCCCTGTCTCTAGGGAAATGGGTTGTTATAGTCAGCCTGTGGAGGGGGTGGGGTTCCATTTAATGTGCTGGAGTGAAAGTCCTGGACTAAACTTGAATTTTAGTCCCCCAAGGGATCCTTGCTATTGTTAGTGGCAGGCTTGTTGAAGATAAAAATGTAAGGTATGGCCTTTAGGGTAGTGGTTCTCAATTTTTTGTACTGGTGACCCTGTTCATATAGCAAGCCTCTGTGTGACACTCCCCACCCCCTAAAGTAAAAACACTTGTGTATTAATGCCATTATAAATGCTGGAGGCAAAGTGGGGTTTGGAGTGGAGGCTGACAGCTTGTGAAGGCCAAGTTTGAGAACCCCTGCTTTACAGGGTAACTAAACTTGTAGGTATGTACCTTATTGCAGCATCATACACAGCTGTTTCTTCCCATGCTATCTTATATTCACTCCCTCTTTCCCTGAGTGAGGGTAATTGCTAATCATTTTAACAGGCTAACAGCTTGCATTTAAAATATAGTTTGGCTTTAGCATCAATCTTTCCCCCAGGAGAATGTGGGGGAAGGGGCTTATATGTCCAGAGCTACTCTTTCAAGCTGCCTGCAAACTCAGCATTAGTTAATCATTCAAGGGTGACCCAAGTAACAACACAACTAAGAGATTTCCTAGACTTTTTTTTATGAAAGTTTCTCTAGTAGCAGACCATATCCTATGCATAACAGCAGTATGGAGAGGTGCCTTGGTGTTTGAAATCACTATTTTGTTCAAATCAATCCTGTTTGGGAAATTAAAATCTATCTAAACAAAACATTCATTTTTTAGGTGTATTTTTTGAGAGATTTTTAGAAGAGGCTAGAGCTTGAGCTCTAAGTAACCACAGAGGCCAGGCTAGGGCATGTGAGGGGTGTCTGGTCACACTAAGATAGGGCTGGTGTTTTGACATGCTTCTACAGATATGCTCAGCAGTGTGGTAGCAGGGGGTTGTGCCTGTCTCCCAGTTAAGGGATGCTTTCCCTTAGGTGAGGGAGATGCCCCATTTTCCTTTCTACAGCACCATGGGTGTCAGACCACTGCCACAATCAATAGTGCATTGCCCTTCTCAAAGAGTTAAAGAAAAACAGCAAGCCTGTTTGCATCACAGATGAGGAAAGATGCCATCAGTCCTGGCTAGAATCTCTCACCCCACCTGACTAGCACACATGGTCTAATCCTAGGTTTTAGTACCCCAGTTAATTGTCTCACCTTTTCAAGGGGGAGACTGTCCAAGCCTGAGCCCTGGTGTTCTACCTACTCCTTACCCTATGTTTCTCTTTGCTCAGTGTCCCTGAGTTAACACCTCTTACTTCTCCAGAGCACCAGGCTTGTACTCTGTGTTGGATTTTTAATTCCCCAGCATCCACCAAATTCTCAAAGACGACTCCATGGTAGAAAAGACAAGGCTAGTGGCTCTTCACACAGCCAAAGGAAATATTCACTGAAACTTACACAAGGGGAGTTACAGGTGAGGTCATGAAACAAGGCCACAAGGGTTATGGCAAAAGTACTTTATTATATACATCTTACTCCACCCACACACTCCCAAGAATTTGCTATTTTACATAATTTCAATAAAAGTTACTACAAACTATAAAAGTGTAAAGCATTTCAGGGGCCTGGACTTCCCCCCACAGGAGAGGGGTACAAGGAGCAAACCCTCTCAGAGAGACAGGGACATTGCTGACTGATGATGTCTCAGGGCAGCCACATACACAAGTGTGGAAAAATAGGAATTGTGATCTTAGGTTCCTTTCATTTCCCCCCACCCCAAGAGTCAGAACACCTGCAGTTTATATGACTAAATCAAGTGCCTCCAGCACAGGAGGAGCAGCATCTTTGAAATGCAGCATCGAAGGTGCAGAAGGCACATGAGTCTGGTTCTTTGGTGGGTGGGGGGGTAAAAGGAGAATTAGAAAATGGAATTTAATACTTAGTGCATGTAGGGCCACCAGTCAGCTCAGTCATGTCCTCCCTGAGGAGAGGGAGAGAGAAGACCAAGTATCCTGTCTAGAACTGTAAAGGTGTACTCATAGCAGGCACATCCAATCTAAGAGGGAGCAATTTGCATAGTGGATGAGGCTCAAGGCAAAAGACCCCATATGTCTGTATGAGACACTAACATTCCTCAAACTTCACCGAGGAGCCTAGACTGCTAACACTGGAGAATTCTTCAGGGGATTGGACAATTCAGACAAAAGCTTCACTTTCTTTCTGCTCTGTTGACTTCATTCACATCCACCACACCTTCACCAAGGGTGCTTCCTGGGCGACAGCCCAGTGCACAACAGCAGGGAAAGTCCTGAGAGCCATCGCCTAGGGTCTGCTTGTGGACTCTCCCTCTCCCGAGTTTCCAAAGGTTCTCCCATCCCCCCTCCCCCCCGGCCAACTGTTTTGGGCTCCTGCCCCAACTCCTTAAGTCCCCTCATACAAGAGATGACAGTGCAACTGGAAGTTTGGGAGCAGAGGACTCCATTTTACAGGTTAGCAAGAACTGTTTTATAATTTTCTAAACATCTGTTACAAATTATTTACAGTCACTCCATTAATATTTACAGTAACCACACACTGCCCCTCTCTTCCCAACCTCTGAAGCTAGTGAGTGCAGTCGGCTCAAGAGGCTACTATTGCTTAGGCCACATGCAGCAAGTTTGAAGGCAGGGGTGCTCAATTCAGGTCCTGGGGCAGATGTCCACATCACTATAATTGATGGGCTATGACAGCACAGAGGACAACTTCCTTTTCCCCCCCCAGAGAGTGTCGCTCCAGAGCATGGTTTGTAGAGGGAGAAGCTTGTGCACTCAACAAACCAGATACAGCCCAGATTAAAGATGACATTAGTCTGGGGGAGGAGGGGGGGCACTAGCCACCTGACAACTTTCACCAGCACCAAACTCACTCTTAGGAGGTTGTCACAGGAAAGGAATTGGGCACCAGTGGGATAACAACCACCCTGGGGATAAGTCTAAGCAGCCACCATACCAGAGGGAAACTACTTGGACTAGGCTCTCCTGGATTGCCTGGGGGAAAGGCACTGAGCCCCATGTGTATTACAACAGGAAGGTTTCTGGCTGACCTACTGCACTGGATTCCATTGAGAGACACTTCTCCTGCTGGGCCCCACTGCACTGGCGAAACTGATGTCTCAGCTGCATAGTTTACATGATCCCCACAAGAGAAAGAGTATTCCTCCTGGAGTGAGTCTCAACGTGCCAGCTTCCTGGAGTTGGAAGTACAGGGGGCATGCCCAGCACAAATGCTCCCACTTTCCAGTGCCACAGGCCTCCTATAGTCACTGTGCATCGATTGTCTAGCCAACTTGGGCTACAGTCTTAGAACAAAGGGCCCCCGCCCACAATCACCATCTCTCAGGGGGAGAGGATCAGTCACAGAAGCGTTTGCGGGGCACTGTCCTGGCTCGGTTTGAGCGACGGATCTCTTGTTTGGCGTCACGGCATCTCTGGCAGATGAAGACCTCAGGCACATTGGATTTGCGAATCTTGGCACAAGAGAGATGGATCCAGGTGGTGCATTCATTACACTCTATCATGGGTCTCCCTGCAAAGGGCTTCAGGCAGAAGCAGGTTATCAGGTCCCAAGCATCATCCTCTGGGCAGGGGAGAGACAGACCTCCATCAGAAAATGCCAGACAAACCCAGTTTATAGCATAAGTTTTTGCACACAGGCAGGCAGTATACATTGTCCCAGGAGCATGTAGGCCTATAGGGCTCAGCACCAACCCCCACAGACGATTAGTGATCAGCTCTGAAGGAAACCCAGGCCTGTCCTATGCTGGCCTGAATTCCCCTCTGTCTGGTTCAATCCCCACCCATTTCAGGAAGAAGCCCAGCGGCAAAGCAAGACTCCCTGCTCCCCGTGCTGGAGAGGCTACCAGTACCACACATAATGGGGTCCCACTCACCTTCTGATTTGGTGTTGGGAGGTGCCACTGTGAATTCCACAGGTGAAGCTGCAAAAGGGAAAAGAGCAATTAAAACCAGTCAAATGGTTAGTTTGAGAGAGTCTCCCAAGCTGAAGAATGAGTCTGGCTCTAGCACTGTTTGCATCAGGGGAAAGAAGGACTCTGACAGGCTGAGGCCCAACACCTTGACTCTATGCTTTGCAGTTCCCATACTTCACCTCTTGTTGGGTGAGGCTAGGACTCCAGTAGCTGTGGGCTCCCCACAAAGCCAGTGAACCTACAGGTCCTCCAGCTGAAAGACAGCAAGGTGCTGAGCATTGGAACATGATGCAGCTTTGCAGTGAGAACAAAGCATTGACACAACCACCTATCCAGACCAGGGACATCTGCCCCACTTTTCCTCTGGACCCCTCCACACTCCCCATACAAACTAGCTTGGAAGCTTACAATTGAGCTGGGAGCTGACACTGCTTGTACCCTCCTCCTCTTTGCTTTGATCCAAGGTATTCTGACAGCTGGAGCTCCTCCTCTCCTCAGGGCATGATTCCTGCTCCTTTGGTCGAAAGTAGCCTCCTACTGGCACCTCACTCCCCTGAACCCCACAAGTCCAGTCCTTTTCTTCCTTCATGAACTCCTCCAACAGGGATTTGGGTCGGAGCTCACCAGCTGGGACAACCAAGGACTCAAGACATTTTCTCATTACATAAGGCGCCTGCTCCTCTAGTACAGCTGACTCTTTCCTTTGCTGCTGAACATCACTTAAATTCTTCGTGCCAGCCAGCGTCACCTTTTGTTCCATCTCTTGATCCAAGATGAGCTTCTTTGCAGACAGTTTCTTCTTCTTGGTTTGCTGGGGCCGGGCTGCATAGAAACTGCTGGGGAAGTCAGGGCAGTTCAGGAACAGGTTGCCCCCTTTGTACTTGGCATTCCTGATCCTCCCCTCATCTGGCAGTACTTGGGAATCAGAGGAATGGGATGAGGCCCAGCTGTCACTATCCTGAGTGCTGCCTGTGCTGTTCTGGGGACTCATGCTGCCTCCAAGGGTCCAGGGTTCATTCTGCAAGGACAAAGAAAAGCACATAGGATCTGCACAGGACTACACCACAGATGTGATGTTCTTGGAGTGATTGGGGGAGGGAAGGAGACATGAGCGGAGGAATGACACAGCAGGAAGTCCCCAAACCTCAATGCCAAGAAAGAAAGGAGAGGTGCCAGGTCTGTCTCCCAGGACATTGGCCCCTTCACACAACACTAAACAATGGCACAACGCACACACCAATCTGTTTTACCTCCTCGGGGTAGGGGATGTAGCCAGCATAGGCCAACACGAAGGTGCAGAACTGGTTGAAGTCCTCCACGGTTCTTTGTCTTTTTTGTGGTGGCTGCAAAGAATGACATTTTATTGATTAGAGTCTCTACCTCCAACCTCAGACTTGATGGCTAGAAAAAAAATTGACAAAACATTGCCAGCTTGGCCTTTTAACTACAGACAATGTCCTTTCTGACTCCCACAATCTTATGCTACAGGATGTCATTGTGGGAGTCAGAAAGGACTGCGTGTGCAACACCAGCCACCAAGTAACTCCATTACACATCTAGCACATGCAGCCCAGGAATGCCTTCGCAACATTCCCCACAACCAACCCGCACACAGTCCCAGACTGCCTGAACACCACCACAGAAGCCTGCAGTGCCCAGCCCACCAAGACGACCCTCCTTTCTCCCAAACCAACCCACACATTCAGCATGCCTAATGTTCCCCTTCAAAGATACACCCAGAACCTGCAGCCATAGCACATGCCGACACCCCCACCACATCAAATCTACATGCACACAATGTGTAGAAAGGAAATATTTGAATATTGAGTTTCTACAAGGTTTCTAAACAGGGTGAACCCCTGAAGTTGTGGAAGAGCCCCCTGCAATGAGCTCCATTTATCTGCAGTCACAGGACTGGGGTGTTTGTGGCAGGGACCATGATCTAGCCTAAGGAAATCCTGCTCTGAGATCCAGTGGGAAGGATAACAGGCCCCTACACAATTAACACAGGAGAGTTCAGACAAAGCCTTGAGCATTGGACTCTAGGGAACCATCCTGCCCTGATTCCTGAGTCTACAGCTCTATGGAGGGGAATCAGAACAGCTGTGCCACCATGACAGGGGCACCTGAGAAGAGTTTCCTCTCAGGACAATCAAGTTGCCCATTATGGAACTCCAGAGTCCTACACAAAACAGCCTCTTGCACCCACCTCCTTCAAGGCAAAGCGAAATGAAAGCACTGGAGCCAATCCCAGCCAGCACAGAGACACTTATCTGACTGACTGGGGATAGGCCATATGGGCACAGTGCTACCATTTATTTCAGCCAGGCAGTCCATGCCAGCTACCCAAGGGCAGTGAAAACTCATGGCTGAGCCTGAGTCAACACCAGCAGCTTGGAGGCCCCCTCCCTGCTGGTCTTCAGGCATCTAACACTTGGAGCTACCAGAAAGGCCAACTCTCCAGCCCCTCAATCCCAACTCTGAAGGGCAGTACCCCCAAAGAGCAGAGGAGGAAGTTCATGATAAACACTGAGAGAAGCCTGAAATTTCTACAGTCCAGGGCCTGGTCACATCCCAACTCCAGAGGTCTGACTCCACCCAACCACCCCTCTTCCCCAAGGGCTGAAGGACAATCACTTCCAGCCATAGGGAGGGGCACCTGCCTCCTGGAG